TAAATCATTTCAACTTAGTTTTTATTATAAAAGTATTATAAGGAATAATTAGTTTTTAATCTGTCAGTTCGAATCAAAGGCAAGTCGAAATCTATTCATGCCATTCGTGTACAGTAAGAGCTCCCGTCCACAAGATCTGGGCAGGGCACCATTGTGGATTAAAGGGAGAAATGAGGGAAAACCAAAAGTAACGTAAGTGTGAGCCATTAAAAGGCTGGTACACAATACTTTAAGAGATGGGCACACAATGGCAATAAAACAAAACCAGAGTCCATTATTAGCATAGTAAGAAACCCAAGGATACAAACTAGGAACTAGAAAATCTCACCTAAGACCATGGAGATTATTTTAGCTTCACCATACATCTGAAGGATGACAGGACAGGTCCTGTTCGTTGCCTCATTATTAAGCAAGACAATGATAATGGAATATTAAATTCCCAGTAGCCTGGAGCATCCAAAATTTTACTTACTGAACCACAGCTGCAAACAGAAAATCTAAGGACAGCTAACTAAATGCAGGGCCATGTCCCTCCTGTGGCTACAGTCTGTTCTGCATGAAGGTGATTATAGAAAGGGCTTTATAGAAAGAAAAGAACTTAACCATAATTAACAAAGAAAGCTATCTCTTTTGGATTAATGATGACATCTTCACCCCACCATTTAAAAACCTTCTTTATTCACATGCACTGCACGTCATGTGTTGAAATAGAAGCATTCTGAATTAAGTGACTCACCAGTTGTCATGGCCTTGAGATAAACCTTACAGCTGTGACAGCCAGCAGCCACATATGGCTGTTCCATTAGAAATACAGCCAGCCCTACATTTGCAGTGATAATATTTTGGATACACTGGATTCAATTAACCAAACTATTAAAATTAATTTCACTTGTTTCTCTTCATATTTATTAACGTGATTACTAGAACATTTTAAATGATGAGGCTTGTTTTACTTTAACCAGAGAGTCCTACTTTAGAGACTTGGTGATCATTTAATACCCGCAACAACAGACAACAACCACACCTGGTATCTCCCAAGCACTTCCTGCGACACCAGACACTAGTCTACGCATTTTACGCACATTCCATCATTTAATCTTTACTGTGACTCCATGTGGTGGGTATTATTATCATCATGTTACAGATGAGAAAATCAAGGCACCAAACAGTACTTGAGTCATTTGGCCAAAGAATGAAGCCATAAATGGAACCCAGGCAGTTTGCCTCTAAAGCACCTGGGCTTAACTTCAAAGAGCTGCTCTACTCTTTCTGACAGATACCTTTGGTTAAAAAGGGTCATGCAACTAAACGGTTTCTGTCCACTCCAGCATACTGTCAGAAAAAAAAAAAAAAAAATCAAACATCTAAAGGTAAACAAAGTAGATGCAGTCAGACTTATTTACTGCCTTTTGATAGCACCCCCTACAAGCACTTAAGTAAAATTCATGCTGGGAAGATCAAAAGTAGTACCTTATTTTAACCTTCAAGATGCTAACAGTCCTGGAAAGAAAGGGTTAGGTTACTTGCCTATTGGCAAAGAACCATCATCTGAGAAGCACTATTCTAGAATAAAACAAATCCTAGTTCACTGGACTGAAAGACAGTTGTCTTCTATGACTGATCACGAACATGCTGCAGGCAACCATCTCCATGTTTTCTGCTCCTCTGACAACCCACACAAGGGCCGAGTGTGCTGCCATTTTGTTTGGGTGACACGGTCAAGGCAGGATTTTGGCTTGAGATTTTCAGAAGATGTTTAGAGGGGTCACTTAAGCCATGCTGACTACGTGGGGAATCCCAAGCCAATGTGGGGTTCCATTAGCAATGCTGTATTTTAATCTAGATCATCACACAAGCCAGTGGTACAGGTGTACTGGCTGGTAGGGCGGATCTGAATGTCCAGCTAAACTCACAAAAGGGAACAAGAGAGGAAAGATTAGTGGTTGCCCATACGTACTCTGAAAGGCTTCAATGAAATCCACATCAGACAAGTCAACACTTTGCGCCAACCATTATATTTTATGGTGAACGGGCTCGAATTTTCATTGAGTGCAGGCATCCATGTTGGATGAAAGGGAAGAAAAGAGAGAATGATACAGAAGTAGAGGAATGAAGGACTAGGAATGTTTTTCTCTGTCAGAGGCAGACGTGGAATTCCTGACTACTTGGCTTTTTCCGAACTGGCTGTTCGCCTTTCTGAAATGAACATTCTGTGCTAACTTCAGAAAGAATGTTGGCAGGGTCAGGATGGGAAGGTCTGAAGCGATAATACTTGAATGGTGAATGCTTTCCTTTCCAAGGACTGACACAGCTGTGACCTCCACAAAGCCAGCCAGCAAGGGTCCAGTTTGGCCACATGAATATGAGCTGCTTTCCTCCCTTGGGAGACAGAGAGGGACACATGAAGCAGTGTCTGATAAAAGTAAAGTATTATAAAATGGTTTGTAGCAAAGAACCTGGAAAGCAAGTGTGATTAATTTCTTTTCTATTTCCCCGAAACACAATACCTACAGAGAAGTTATTGGAGGGCAAATAAACATCTTCCATTATTTCTTCTCTTTGAGCGTATGGGTGGCAGAGAGTGGAATAGTGAACAGATATTAAAAAAAAAATAAAAATAAAAAACAACACTTTCTCAGAAACCCAGTTACAAAAATGGTGCTCAAAATGCTTCTAAAAGGCAAACACTTGGCAAAACATCCAAGTCCCAAACTCTGTTTTTTGTTTCAAATCTGGAGCTATAATGAAACCCAGCATATGTTAATGGTCCTTATTTCTCTCCAGCTAATCAACTTCCACTCTCTGCCTCTCCTTACATGGCATTCTACATAAAAAGTAGCCAAATCAGTATTTCTTAACTTCATTATCTCAAACCTTTTATTTTCTCTTTCTCTTTTTTTTTTTGGAGACAGAATCTCATTCTGTCATCCACACTGAAATGCAGTGGCGTGACCACAGTTCACTGCAGCTTTGACCTCCTAGACTCAAGTGATCCTTCCCGCTCAGTCTCTCGTGTAGCTGGGACCACCAGACACGTGCCACCATGCCTTGCTAATTAAAAAAATTTTTTTTTTGTAGAGATGGGGGTCTTGACATGTTGCCCAAGCTGGTCTTGAACTTCTGGGCTCAAGGGTTCTTCCCACTTCATCTTAACAAAGTGCTGGGATTACAGGCCTGAGCCACTGAGCCCAGCCACAAACCTTTCAATCTTTCAAGACAAAAGTATTTATTAATTAACAAAAAAAATCTTGAAAAAAAATCCCTTTCCCCAACCCTGCATATATAAATATTTGTGTTGTAGTTTTATTTTATTTTATTTTTAATGAAACAATGTTGGCATCAATGTTAGGAAGAAAACTCATTTCTTATTTCATTATCTCCCTAAGGCTGGCAGATCCTGTTCTGAAACCAAATCACCAGTCCTTTCTTTATTGTCAGAGTCAGATTAAAAGGAAAAAAAAAAAATTTCAAAGTAAAATGACTGCCAAAACAGCAGTGAGGCCAAATAAAATTGTTCAGCCTGGCCTTACATGACCTAACTTGGTTAGAGGGATAGTGTCTCTACTGCCCCTACTTCTTCTAGGGAACCTGCCCCATTTACCCACTGAGAGGTAACACTGGATGTTGCAGGATGCTACCTGGCATCTCAGATGACTCACTCAGAGATGGACACGTGACCCAAGGCCAGCAAACTAGTTGGTTGGCTAATGTCTATTCAGACCCACCTACTGGAATACTTGACATAAGACCCAGAAGCTCAACTGGTACTAGAACAATCAGACTGGGAAAAGTGGTCATTTCTATGAATGACATCGTAAGTACCTTCCAATTTGGACAGTCCTGATTAATGATTCAAATCCACTGTCTTTTAAATTCTACCCATTGTTCCTGGCTCTATTTTCTGGAATAATGCAAAAGGAATTTTACTCTTTTTGTAATTCAATCCACGCTGAATTTTCTACAACTAACACATCCCTTCTAAGAATCATCCCCAACCATCCATTCAAACCTCATGAGATGATTTAAAGACCTTCGCATTCCCCGGACAGTTCTCCTTCCTCTTACACTGCCTCAATCCCATCTCCAATTCACCTAGTTGCTACCCACAGTTAACTGCTCAGCCTAAATCAAGACGTCCCATGAAATGTGCTGAGGCCACATTCACAAGGAGGCAGTACCGTTTAGTGGTCAGGAACATGGGTTTTGGAATCAGGCAAACCCAGGCTTAGTTTTTGGCTGCATCATTCATTAACCATGAATCTTTGGGTATGTTACCCCATCTCTCCACCCCACTGATGTTCTATGTGAATACCCATCTCTCAGTGTTGCCTTGCCACTGATTATGTTGATATATGGAAAGTGCTGAGTAAAGTGTATAGCGCACAGAAAGAACTCAATCAATAACGTGTTATTTCCTTCCTCTGTGTCCACAAATCTCTTTATTTTCTGAACTGTGGGTAGGACTAGTGGGCAGAGCACGGTCTTTGGAATCAGACCATGGCATGGCTATCAGTTTTATGACCATTGGCAAGTTACCTTCTGTGTGGCTTCATCCCCTCTATAAAATAGGGGCATGAACAGCACCTACCTCCTAAGACTGTAACATGGGCTACAAATAGCATCTAACTCATGAGAGTATCGTTCATGAAGATGAAATGGGTCAACCTATATAAAGAGCTTAGGAGAGTTTCTGGCACCAAAGGTCATCATCATCAAGGATAGCTATTATTGCCTCCTCAAGATTGAATACTTAAAACAATACTCAGATTTCATGCCTGCAATTCTCCTTAGTGACTTAATTTCATTTGCAGCTAAGAAATCATGTTCTATAGATTGCAGTTCTTGGGTTCAAAAACGTGTTTGTTGGAAAGACTGCAGGAATCAATGACAAGCACAGGATCAAGAACAAATTCCTTACTGGTATGTTCTAGTCATGCTGGATCATTATGTCAATACAAAACAAGGAAACACAGAGGCCCCACTTGAGGCAAAATAGCTACCTGATGGTAAGAGATGGGGACGGGTCTCCGGAAGACTATCCACTCCACTATTTCGCTACACGGCGGGGTGGTCAAAGAACCTGTGTACCGGTAATAGCTGCCCAGGGATGCAGGCAGGAGGTCCCGGAGGACGAAAGGATCCAGAAAGGTCTCCTTCTCTGTTTGGGGAGAAAGGGAAAAGAAAAGCACAATGATAAGTCACGCCATTCCGTGCCGCAGACGCTGTCAACACCCTCGGCATGCTGGTGCCACATCACAAGCCTTATGTTTGTTTATATCCTGAGAAGCACTAGCATTTGGTGGTGGGAGAGCCTCAGTAAACAAAGCAGCATTTCCCAGGGTGTGCTCTGAGGACACCAGTACCACAGTGTATTTCAACAAAAAGCAGGTTCCACCATGAACACGGTTGGGGCACATGACGGTCCCTCCCACTTCCCCCAGGAAATAGACAAAATACTCCAGCATAGCAAAATCTCTGAGACGTCTTGCAGAAAAGAAATGAGCTTGCCTTTCTTTATCCCACCCCTTCCCAACCTTGTTTCATCACAGAACTCTTCTCTAAGATCTACGAACAGATAATCCGTGGAATGAACTTTGGGACACAATGATAGAATCATTATGAAAAGAAAACTGTAAGTCACCAGTAACATGCAATTCCAAAGCTGGCTAGATTTCATTATGGTTTCACTCAAGTCCTCTCCGAATCAATGTGAAGCCCAACCAAGGCGCAACTATAAACTGAAAAAGAATGGCCCCAGGAACCAGCATTCTTTCTTAAAAAAAAATGGAGGTGTCTTCCCTTAAAGAGAAGGAACGACATTTAAGTTCAGACCCAACAATGATAACATGATTCATCTATAAGGAAAGCAAGGCATGGAATGGGTTAGTGTCAGCTCAAGGTCACGTAGCTCCTAAGACGCAAAGCCGAGATGTGAATCCTTGTGTCTTAACACGAGAGACTACACACAGTTCTGACTCAGCTGAAGGCGGCACTGAGGTTAGCCAGGTGAAAATGGAAGGGTGGGGGCAAAAAAGGTGAAGAAAAACATTGTAAGCTGTAGAAACAGCACGAGCCAAGACCCTGGAACAGGAAGGAACAGTGCCACAGAGAAGATGAGGGAACTGTCTTATAATTCTCCCAAGCAGGCCCAGTAGATGATCTAGTTTCTTTCGTGAGTCAGAGAAGGTTGTAGTCTCTCCATGTATCTCCAGAGATCTAGACTTGAACGTGTATCTGGGATTCTCTCCTCTTCCCTGTTAGAGATATAACAAGAATACTGAAGTCCTGCTCGTGGGATGCCTTCGCTCCTTCACGGCTTCCACCACGAGCCCAGGGCCAGGGTTGCGGGTGACTTCATAGACACACTTTTCCTACAGGAATACTCTTCCTAAGCCTCCTCCCTCCTCTTCTCATCTTCATGCAGCACAGCTAGTGCAGGCATTTGGGCAACTGTGTATCCCAGACTCAAGGAGTCTGTGTAACTAGGGGATAATGCAAACAACTCCAACAGAAATGAACTGTATTACAGTTGAAATTGCAATTTCCTTTTGGAAAAGATTTAGTTGAAGAAGACTTAACATTGATTTAGCTTTACCTATATGCCAGGCACTATTCTGAGTATTTACATGTTGCAAACGCTTAAACAGAACTTACTATATGCGCCAGGCCCTGTTCTCAGAGCTTTATAAAGATTAATTTATTTAATGCTTAAAATAAGTCCATGAAGTTAGTCCTATTATTATCCCCAGTTTACAGAGCTGAGATACAAAAACAGGTAGCTCGGTTTAGAATCCAGGCTTTTATTCTTCGCATCACTATGCTCTCTTAGTTCACAGCTCTGTGAAGTATGTGCTTTCTAATATTCATTTTATAGGTGTGGAAATCTAGGCACAGAGAGGTGAAATAACCAAGCTCAAGGTCACTAGTGAACAGCGAAGTAACAACAGTTACTTGTGAGGTTCAGAAACCTTGGCTGATCTGCAGAGAGGTGTGCGATTCATCTTTTTCTAAAAGAAAAATTTACTATTAACCAATAAACGCAAAAGTCTTCAAATCATAGGGTTCCATAATCAAAATTATAAAAACAATTTCTGTTGTACAAAAGGCTAGAAATAACGGAATTGCCCCTCCGCCCACTGGCAAGTCTGGGCTTTCATTTAAACCTGGTTACCAGCAGCCTAATGACAGGGAAAATCTCTGCAAGCATGCTTGGCGGGGACTGGTTTGGCGGGGAGAAGAAAATATTTTGGCCTTTGCCTGCTGCCTCTGAGCTTCCTGGGCTGTGCAAATAGTCAACACAAAGCCCCAGGCGAGACAGGGTGTGCGTAGGGCTTGGCACCACCAACGGCAAAACTGCTACCTTCATGTCTCCCCCACGTTGTAGGTGAACCTGGGGTCACACCACAGCACACCCACCTGCCTTAGGATCAAGGCTTCCAGGCCAAATGGCTTTTGAATCAGAAGAGTTTGACTCTCGGGGCCCAATCCAATATTAAGGTTGCAGTTAAACATGCTGTATGCTGACAGGAACCCCAGCAAACCCACGGCAGCCAAGCCCCCATCCACACTTACTCTAGGAAGAGGCCACGGCTTTCAAGAGCATAAAAAGATAAAGCAGAAGCACCTGCCCCACCCACAGGAGATTACATTTCAAAGGGGAACGCTGATTGGGCGGGGTCAGGGAATTTACGTAAGTTTTCAGATGGGCTCAGGGATTGAGCAGGCATGATGGAAACTGAGTGTGACCCCTGCTGCAAACTCGGAAGGACCTCCCTGTTCTTCACCAACACCAGGGCTTCAGAGGCAAGTTCTGGCTTTCACTGATTAGCATGTGCAGCCAGATCTGAGGCGAGGTGGGTAGGCCAGGGGACAAGGGATGGAGGCGGAGGACCTGGCTTCACTGCTAATTCATTCCACCACGGCCTCTGCCACCGAATCTTAGGACTCTGTGATCTGGAAGGGCCTTAGTTCAGTGGCTTATTTCAGTGGCTCTGGGGGCCAAAGAATGGTCTCTTCAAACAAAATCATATCCCAGAGCCTGGCAACTCAAATAGCTAAGTCAGCCCAGTGGCTGAAGCTAAGCAGGGGACCCAGGGACACTTTGAAAACCATCGATTTCGTCCAATTCTTTAACTTTAGGGCTGGGTAAACAGAAGACCAGGGTGAAGTAACAGACCCAAGGTCAAAAACACTTAAAGAATACAGAGACTCGCGTGGAATTCTTTCTTGAGGGAATCTGGACTAGTATTCCCAAACAGCAGGAAACACCCTTCAGTGCTGAAAACCGAGATCCACTGCCCTCATCAGCAACCCTAGCACCTGCGCATTCCTTCAAGGGTTGCTGAGGAGAGCAGATTTTCAGCCTGCTCGGGTTCAAATCCCAACTCTGCTATCTGTGAGCTGTGTGAGCTTAGGCAAGTTATGAAACCTTCCCAGGCTACAGTAGTGAAGATTATAAATAAGGCAATGTAAGAAAGGGGATGAGAAAGAGCTCAGTACACAGTAAACACCTCACACGTCATAGACATTATTCTTACTCTGATTGTTATTACTATTATTATTCCTCTAAGCTACCAGTGTTTCATCATGTACTTTCTTTAATGTTTTGTGTATGTCTTTTTTTTTTTTTTTTAACTGGATTACTGCTTGTGTCCTTAAAGGCATACCATGTTAGATATATTGTCCATCAACATGAGCAGTCTAGGTTACAGCTTTCTTTGCCAAAATTCTAGCAAAAATTGAGCTTTGAACTAACTGACATTTGATGGCTGTGTGATCTTAGGCAAAGGCCTTAAGCTCTCTGAGCTCCTTCCATCATCTGTCAAATGGGAATAATGAGAATATTTGCTCTCAGGGTTGCTGTGACACTTAAGCAGGTTAACAGACATAAGGGGCTTGGTACAGTTCCTGGCCCATTGTAAGCCCAGATTTTAACAAGGCGAGCATGTGGCTGGGCACAAGCCCAGCTGAGGTACAGCCTGGCTCATTCTGGGTTTTAAGCTAGGAATGAGCAACCGTTTTCCTTAAAGTACCAGATAATACAGATTTTAGGTTTTGCAGGCCAAGAGGTGAATTTGAAGACGTTACATAGGTACTTAAATAATAAGTACACTTCTACAACCTTATTAACTGAATTTGAAATGCTATTAATAACTGAGAACAATTTTCAAAATATATGCCTACTTAATGAGAATAATGTGATTCTTTTTTGGGGGGAATAACATTTCACTTAATTAGAGACTGAATGTAAAAACCATGCTTAGCTCAGGGGCCATACAAAAATAGATGGTGGAATGAATCTGGCCTTCGGTCACATCTTGCCTGCCCCTATTTAATTTAATTTTTTCTTTTTTTTTTTTTTTTTAGACAGAGTCTTGCTCTGTTGCCCAGCTGGAGTGTAGTGGCGAAATCTCCGCCCACTGCAACCTCTGCCTCCTGGGATCCAGCAATTCTCCTGCCTCAGCCTCCCGAGTAGCTGGGATTACAGATGCACGTGCCACCATGCCCAGCTAATTCTTTGTATTTGTATTAGAGAGCGGGTTTCACCATGCTGGCCAAGCTGGTCTCAAACTCCTGACCTCATGATCCGCCCACCTCAGCCTCCCAAAGTGCTGGGATTACAGGCATGAGCCACCACACCCGGCCTGCCTGCTCCTATTTTAACACAAGTGTTGGGAGTGGGAGGTGGAAAAGGAATCCCAAGTATTAGAAGGTCACTTTGATTGCCACAGCAAGACTTGTGGGGTGGGGGGAATGATGCTATATGTTCAGGTGCCCCCATTATTAACTGACAACGGATTACAGAATTCACATGAACAACACATTCTAAAATTAACTCTTGTTTCTTCTGCAGTCTCAGTTCAAGCTGAACATCAGTTTGCAGTGATCTTTCTGAAAATGTCATTGCCTGCTCAGTACCACAGACAGTCCTCTGCTGATAACTGGATGCTCACAATGCTTAATTACAAATTAGAAACAATTTTAGAAATGGTAGGCCCTTTATTTCTAGTACTACCCATGAGGCCTGCTTAGGTCAGAGGGGCTCAACTGGCCAGACTCAAGACTGGTAGTTCCTAAGCAAAGCCACTGGAAAGAAGAAAGAAAGCACTTTTCAGTTGAAGACTTAAACTCTTCCATTTATAAAATCTTTTTGTTTTC